ATGCAGTTTTATTCAATATCAAATAAATACATACATTAATAAATAGCTATCGAAATAACCACCTTTAGCTGTGTAAATAATCCTGGAATAAATAGAAAGGGCATTGGTAAAAAAATGCCCCTGAAATAACTAAAAGTACTTATTGGGGGGGGGGGACAAACAAACAATAATTTATTTACTTGTTACATTATTTTACTTATGTATTTATTTATTATTCAAACGTTCAATGAAATGGCTTTTCATAGATTTGCTCGAAGCAGGAAATGGAAACAATCCTAATTCTTTTTTTTTCTTTTCTTTTCTTTTTTGCATTTTAAATATTTGCCTCATATTCGCTTTCCCTGAATCAGGAAGTAGGTGGCGGTAATGCGCCATAAACCTGATTGCGACCTTGCATTAACTATAAAAGAAGAAGAGGGATGTTGGGCGGGTTGGGTTTGCCTGCTGTTGGCTGCTGTCCGGACGACACGAAGGTGAAAATCAAACACACCTTGGACTCTACTACACGTCACTTACCGGAGCCCTGCACTCGAGTAGCGTTAGTTAGCCAGCGGTTAGCATCTGGCTGCTCACAAATGTCAACTACTCCACTAGAGGCGAGATTTTCACTTTTTTATTCGTAAGTACTAAACCAGTTAAGGGGTATGAGCATATAATATTTCTGTGTTGACACCGACGAATCGTAAAAATATGTTAAATTCGGGTGTTTAGCTCTCTATTACAGCCAAACTGACACGACAGTTATTCTGATAGACATCAGAAAACGTGAGGTAACGCTGTCCGCTACCTGCTATATTTGGAACATCAGTGCTTCTTCACCGTTTTTACCAATGTGGCTAATTTGTGTGCACAGTTAAAATACGTTGTTCATTCGTATGTGCATCCCACCAGAAAGAGAACATGTTGTATTCACTGGTCAGAGCCCTGTGTGTAACGTCAGGCCTTTTTTTTTTTTTTTTTTTTTTTTATAAATACAAGAGCTCAGAAGACTCAAATGCTAACAGAACATCATCTGAATTAACGATATTTTTCCTTCAAAAGGTCATGAAGATAAGTGAGAAAACCAGGATGGAGCCGTGGAATAAGCTTCCTTCAGCTCACTTGAATTATAGTAAAAAGTAAAGGAACAAGTTGAGGACAATCTGCACCATGGGAAGGTTGGTTATATGTCACTGTGGGAATGTCGTTTATTCACATGCCTGTCGTTTGTGACATGTTAGACAGGCTTTGCTGACACTCTCCTTTTAAATTTCTGACAGGATCAGCTTTTCGTGCCTTTTCCCAGCCTCGTGGCATTTCAGCCTGTCGTCCCAGGTTCTTCCCCGGCTTCTCGTCCCATCCCTCAGGCAGCTGCTCTTCATCGGTCTGGTGTTCTGCCTCATGGGGCTGCTCTACCTGCTGATTGTTGCTGGAAAAGGGCACGCCAGCTGGATCAGGAAGGAAAATCACTTCCATAGGTACTGCAAACTACTGTCCAAGTTCAGATGTCCCAGTGAGCACAGGCACTGTTATTACAGCGCTATTAATAATTCTTTGTTATTTTAAAAGGCACTTAGCGAGGGTTACTGATGTGGATGCAACTGATACAAGCAACCCCAACCTGAACTATGGCCTGGTAGTGGACTGTGGTAGCAGTGGCTCCAGGGTGTTTGTGTACTGCTGGCCCCGACACAATGGTAATCCACATGAACTGCTGGACATCCGACAAATGCGAGATCAACACCGCAAGCCTGTGGTCATGAAGATCAAGCCAGGTACAATGCTCAGTGCATGGCTTCTCATCATTTATAACATTATTGAATCCTCTGAACCCCAGACGGTTGGTCAGTGTCACATTTTTGTGAATTTGACTCACTGGATGTAGGCTGAGAGTGTAAGTCTGCCATTTGCCACTCATGTCAGATTGCTTTCTCCTCTATGTGTGTCATCGTTTTCAAAATTCCCTTCACCTGCTGAAAAATAACAGCAACAACAACAACCCTTTAGCAGCAACCTACTACAATACAAATTTCAAGTTTTTCAGAGGAATTTGCATCAGTGGATTATCCAGTTTAGTGGCCCCGTGTAAAAATGTTCCACCAAAGCAATTCCACTTGTCACCATTTTGATGGAACACAGTAGCCACATCCATTGCCTCGCCCTCCAAAGATGAATGTGATTGGTTTAAGGAAATGTAAATGAGCCAGAGTATTTTTGCCTTGCAGCAGAAAGATACTGAGGTGCAGCCAGAATGTTATGTACTACAGATTTTACTGGTGAGGCGTGACTACATATTTTCTCTGTAAGGGATTAATAAAGTATTATTATTATTATTATTATTATTATTATTATTATTATTATTATTATTTACTACTCTGTGGAAACAGCACAAGTGTGGCTGGAAGTCAAGAGAGCTCACAAATGTCTTTTGTGCATTATAATGACGTTTTAATGCCGTAATTCACTCAAAAATGAGAAAGAAATTCTAGAAATCTGGAATTAACATCGTACAACATTTTTCCAAATGTGTATAGAATAAAATAATTTTGATAGAGTATCACAGTGTTCAGCTTAGGTTTGGTTTGTTTTTCCAAACAGCCCATCACAGATGAGTAGTTCAAAGACTGGCGAAAAGTTCAAAACCGAATGATTCTCTCTGTTTTTACAGTTTCTTTGAGAAGTAGAGTAGTTTTGTTAAAACAACATGCCTTTTAAACCCGCTGGCTGGTTTTGGGGTTCAGGGGGTTAAGGGAGAGGATACAATGATTTGTACTGTTGAAATTACTAGATATCATCTGACATTATAACATTTAAAGCTACCCTGTTATACTGTATACTTACTGTAAAGAAATATTTTTGGTCATGTGTTTTCCTTACAGGTATCTCTGAATTGGCAAAAACACCTGAGAAAGCCAGTGATTATATCTACCCACTGCTCAGCTTTGCAGCCCAACACATTCCCAAAAATAAACACCAAGAAACACCCTTGTATATCCTGTGCACAGCTGGCATGAGAATCCTTCCTGAAAGGTAAAGTTGGGCCTAATAAGAATATTATCATAATATATAAAAATGGCTGCCAGAAATATTAAACTTAAAAATAAAAACATGTGACATTT